AACGCTTTCGGTTGGTGCACGGGTGCGACGACTACACGGATAAATTTTAAGATTGCTGCTAGCAAGGTGGGCCATAGTCACTTTATGTTGACACGATTTTGAGTGTAAGTACTCCGTGCAAAGGCGAATCTATCGCGTTTCTAATCCACCTTTGTTTTTGTTGTTGTTTTTGCGCTCGCACGACCGATTGAAAATGCTTCTGTACCAATCACGGAGTGAATGTCTTCGGCCTACATTGCGGAACGCCCAATAAAGTCATATTCGTTCAGCGAGCAAACTTCCCTTTCGAGTGACCTTCTTTGATTGATGATTTCGCCCGTACTTAAGTGCTATAATCAACACGATCGATGAAGTTTGCTTCCCTAGTTAGGACATTTTTTGTGCCACATGCGGCACTAATGCTTGGTACGATGTATTCTACTGGCGGTATTGTGATTTGGTTTACTTCCAAAGCTAACAGTATGACAGGTGGGACCATTCAATTTGCTAAAAATGTGATATGGGAATGTCGTTGCATAACTAGCATTTTACGTTTAAGATTGATAAGAAACATGCTCATGTGATGACGCACGTCTACAGCATAAGCTTTGCACATCCAGAATGGATGTGCTACAGGCTCAAGACTTTTAATAGACCAAATTGGTGATTACATGGCAATAAATATTGTGGAAAACTGCCCATTGACTCGGTGAGTTTTGATCGTGACCATTGGCGTGCTGTTGGCAAATTAAAGGGACATTGCATCTAGTGCTTAAATATCTTTATTTCAAGGTTCAGTGGACCCCTCTGCATCATTACAGGAAGGCACTCTCAAGCCACAACAAACAGCAGTGAATATACAATGCATAATAACCGGCACCAGTGTCCAGGCGTATAGTCCACAGAAGCCAATTTGAGCCTAAAAATGTTTTTGTTTTGTTTAGACAGTTTGCATTTGGTGTATAATTCGCAGGGCCCGATTTCCGCGCCCAGTGCATAGTCCGCCAAGCTGGTGCGTTGCGTCTTTGTGCTTTTTTTCCTGGGTGGCATTTTCTTCAGAAGTTCTTCGGCGAACGCTATTGAGCCTGAAGAACTGCTCTTGAGGCCCATATCTAGCCACTCGGCACACACACAAGCACAGAAAATAACACTAGGTGCCAAGTACAAACGAAGCACCTGGGCGGAAAGCCGTGAATGCCAAACGAGCAGCGTCCGGTGACGGCGACTGACTGCGTTGCGCCCCTTCGGTGCCTGCATCGCTGCGGTGGGTGGTCGTAGCTAGTCGTAGCGAGATGATCTTCACTTCAAGCAAGAAATCTTGCCATACCATAGTCAAGATATGTGTGCAAGTGTTCGACGACGTGGGCTCTCTCACATTGGTGCAGTTGTCATCAAGAAAGGTACATAACAATGTTGAGTGTTTGAGGCTGAAACTATGACGCATACTTATCTAAACCTAAATTTATCGGTCTGTGGCTACAAACATTTTCGTTGACGTTGCTTAGATCATGTAACCATTCAGGCCTCAAATTAAATGGTGTTTCGAACTCTTCGGTTGTGTATGAAAACCTATTTGCTCTAATAAAAGACATTTTGAAAAGGACACATGTCTTCTGCTGATACATATCTTCCAATTTACAATGCAGAAGCAAACAGAAAATCAACTGCATACATCTACCACTTGGCATAATAAGCACCTTTTGCAATTCATTCTTGAGCACACTCAAATATCAGCTAAGGTTGCTCTCGTTTTAGAAGCTTTGCCCTGTTCTGTAAAAAGAAAACAGTTAAAAAAGCTTTACCTTCGTTCTCCTCCTCGCATTTAATACAGACTTGTTTGTCAGCAGATCACACACAGCAGATATCACCGTGGCACATAGAACTCGAATGACCGATGAGACTTGCTATTACAATAAAGCTTTCCACAAGAGCCAAAATGAGGCTTGTAGGGGTGCACAAGCACATGGAAATGAGATTGGCGCTTCCGGGGCTTGTTTACATTATGCGTAAAAACAGGACGATCGGCGACCAGCTGATCGCAATATAACACCAAGGATACCGATGTTTCGATCCGTAGAACGCAGGATAAAGACCTGAATCGTCCCTTGTATGCTGTAGTTGTCATACTTTCCATCCAACCGCTTTTTAGTACAATTAACTAGAACACCCGAAAAGTTCGCAACACCTTCTAATGCGAGGCCTGAATGGTTACATCATCTAAGCCACGTCAACGAAAATGTTCGTAGCCGCAGACCGATAAGTTTAGTTTGAGATAACGTACGCGTCATAGTTTGAACGCGCGAACGTTGTTGATATGTACCTTTCTTTGGACCCGCGTACATTCGGTTCAACTTGATGACAGCTGCACCAGCGTGAGAGCTCACGTCGAACACTTGCACACATATCTTGACTATGGCAAGATTTCTTGCCTTCGACTGGCTTGAACACTTCATCTGTAGCATCACGGTAGGTCTTGGTTGAAATGATGATCGTCTCGCACACGGCAACAAACAGAGAACGACACGCTTTGTTCTATTTATACGCTACCGGTCTACGGGCGTCGCAAATCTATCCCCCTCTTGTCCGCCATGTTGGATCTATCGGAGCGCCCCCTATACACCTTTCCAAAAAACACTCGACCCCAGGGGCAACAAACCGTTTCCGAGCCCAGTCACTGAGTTTGAGGCTAGACTCTCACCGGCGTCCCTCCTAACCCTAACCGAGGGGACTGTGATTTCAACAGGCGCAGCCTGCGTAGGCGCAGTTTCAAACGCCGCTGGCGGCTAAATTCTCGTATTTTCCCGCTATATTTTGTGTTTCATGGCACATGTATGTTCCCGAGGACATTGAGAAAGCATTGTGCCACATTTGAAAAACAAAAAAAGCAAAAAAAAAGCTGTAAACTATTTTTGTTGGGACCGCGCGCGACAGAACGAATGAGGCTGGAATGTTTAGTTCTAGTTATTTGTTTTTTTCTTAGGATAAGTTTTGACGGCGCCGCGGGATTCGCCGCATGTGAAACGACAAAGCGCTTTGCTGTCAAAAATAAATTGCAACAGAAGAGGGCCGAAAGGCATGCATTTTTCACGCTCACAAATAACGTGTTTACCGATGGACAGGACACGGACATACAATTGAGGAAGTGTTAACATCCGAACAATATAACGTACGTACCGACGATGCAGCGTTATCCGAAACGAATTTATTTGAGAAAGATCTCAAATAACACAGTCACAGTCGACGACAGTCACATCTTGACGATCGGACGGAATCCGAGATGACTTCGTTTTGGGGCACGTTTTGGGGAGAGCTTCCTTTTTTCACAACCGCACCAAGGCAAAGAAACAAACGCGACTGACCCGTTTCTCACCCCCACCCGGACAACTATTTTCGGAGATGACTGAGGATTCTACGCCGATTATCTCTGGGAGGGGGGAGAACAATGTTCGCAAAATCGCGTCGAGGGTCGTTCAACGTCCTTCACCTCCTTCGTTTCCCGTGAATGTCGAGCTCGAGCAGAAAAGCTTGAATGGCAGGCACTTACCAGCCTTCTTTCTCACAATGGAAGATAACACAAAAAGGGTACGCAGCACGCATAAAAAAAATTAAGAAACTTTCGAAAGGGGCGAGAAAACGTCGAATGCAAAACCGCAAAAACGTAGGTAGAGAACCGCGCTGAGCGGGTCCTCACAGTCCCTGAGAGTGGCAGAAAATTTCTAGCTGATAGAGGGCGCGAGAGTCGCACCAGTAGCATCAGCATCAGCAACATGGCGGCGGCCTAGGAGCGTTTTTTGGAAAGGTGTATATTCGCTGAAACTCCTCAATATTCCGAGAGCTTCGTCGGAGCGGGATTCGCGGCTGTTGTCGCTCTTCTCGGGTGTTTGTGGATCCAGCGTTCTTGTTCGTCGTGGTTTGTTTTAAGTACATTTCTTTCTTGCTGCTTGAAGTCGGCACGCGCGAGATGAACACGTAGAAAAATAAACGTACAGTCAGTCAGAGTTCTGAGAGGAAGGAAACCAAAGGAAATAACCGTTCTGAACTTGGCCCTGCCCTACTGCGCACGCGCAGTAGTTGCTTCGTTTACCACACGATAGATGGCGCTTGGCTCTCAGCATTATCAAATTTGGCAATTTTCGCCACACATCTCTAATTATGCTACAAAATGTGGATCTGAATATTATTTAACAAAACTTTTAGGAAACATTCGCCGGCTATTTATTGTTTACGATCGCGGTGCTGGTGAGGTAGGCTCTTACCCAATAGGCGATGTGGATTCGGCTGACGTGCACCGTTTCTGCGTATGCATCGTAGTGAAAAGGCAGAGCTTTCGAAGGAAAGAAGTCGCAAAAGAGTCCAGTTTTCTTTTAAAAGTTCTATAGCAAATAATTTTTTTTGGCTCCCTAGTCTTGTGTTTTTGTGTTCCTTTTCACACCTTTTACGACGTGCGGTGGATGAAATTCGATTTTAAAATCATTTCATGGTCCCTTTAAGCAAGAGTTGGGCTGGGTTTCTTTGGATGAGTGCCATAGACGTCTCCGACTCAAGCTTATCATAAACAGGGAGGAATTTCAGTCTTGCAAAGTTCATTATCACAGATTACTCTCGCAAAGTTCGACCGTATGCCGCTGGGACAAATCTTTTTAAACACTGAGTTTGTGTGTCTAGTAGTGATGCAAAACTATCGATAAATTGACTATCGATACTGTTGATAGTTTTTCCAAAACTATCGATAGTCGACTATCGATAGTACTATCGATAGTTTTTCGATAGTCGACTATCGATAGTTTTGCATCACTAGTGTGTAGCGTAATCTGAGTGGTATTCATTATCAGCGGAAGTAGTGCGCCGCGAGAATGCGAATTAATTTAATCATGCATTGTGCCGTCCGCAATAATGATCAAGAAGTGCCACAAACTTCTCTTGTAAAAAGTATATATATATATATAATGTGTTTTTAGGAGGTACCTTTATCATACACATATCCTATGGGTGTCGGTTTGAGGGAAAAAATGAAGCCTAAAAAAATCCTGTCTTTTTATGCACTGGGAGGAAATCGCTAAAAACCGGCTGGCTGACGCTGCGACGATGACTAGTCAGTGGCAGACCATGTGCGCAGTGATTCCTCGGGGTGGATTGCATCGAGGTCTCTGAAGTCGGGGAACATGCTGGGGAGATGGCCGACGATCTTCTCCAGGGGCGGGATCAACAGATTGGCGAGCTTGTACGACCCGGCCTGGGAGAAGTGCAGTCCGTCCACGAACAGATCCTTCCAGTTCTGAGAGTGAACGATAAATTAAAAGAGAAACGTAACAGGTTGGGCGAGTTGCGACCTGACGAATTGCCAAGATATTTGAAAGAATTTGCGTGTAGCGGATAATTATCATAGAAGAGGCACCGTAACTTTCTACAGTTGCATAGACACTCTGACCGAATGACTCACTCTGCGGATATCCACAATCTAGACGAATACTGGTTTTACCGAATCACAATCTAGCCAATACAGAGTGTATACGAGTGCCGTACGAAGTCTTTTAAAGCTGCTAAGGCTGATAGTACTTGACGAACAAGGTGTAAAACAGATGATTGCGGGCCACGTGGCCGGTTGTTCTGGCTCAAAGTTGAGGGGATGAACGACGCTTATATTCCTCGAATTTTTTTTGGTGACTGCCATTACCTAGAGCAGTGGTCTCAAACTCGTTCGAGTGTGGGGGCCAAATAGCCCACACCGGAAAGGCCGAGGGCCAATGTAAGATGAAGGGGGGGGGGGGGGGGGGGGGGGGGAGGTAGAAGATTTTAATGAGAAGGGACCTCGTGCCCTATGCTTTTCGTAAACTCACAGTTTTGCCCGTGACATCTTTAAATTTAATTTGTTTATATGACTACTTCGGGCCCTGACCTGACGTGATAACAGAAATTAAAATTACACGGCCCCGCCAACCTGCTGGCATTTTTAATAGAACAAGAAGCGAGTAATCTGTCGTTCCCTGCTCAACATGTCTTTAAAAAACAATATTTTAATTTGACAGTTCTTGAATTCCTCACAATTATTATTATAACACTCTGAACAAATACCCGTCTTTTAATGGTGATATCTTTTTGAAGGTGAGAATCCAGAGCTCATAGCTTTAACTTTGGCACATGCTGCTGCTAAGCGAGAGTTTGCGCAGCCGACATGCGTCCTTCAACAAGTAGCTAAGCTAGGCTTGCAGACTAGTAGCGGTATTGTTGTACATTACAAAAAGCTGAAAATCACCAAATAAAGCAAAACAAAGGGCAAATGAACACAGAGAAGTATAAAATATGTGCATACGTTAAGATAGCAGAGCTACTTTTCGAGCGAAAATGAATAAACGAGATGGGATTACTATGACACATGTCATTCCTAGCGTTTGAGACATGGAAACTGGAACTCGCAGCCGGTTGCCTGCGGGCCGCTTCTCAGCGAGTCGCGGACCGCATGTGGCCCGCGGGCCTCGTGTCTGAGACCCCTGACCTAGAGAGAAAAACATAGCAAGTTTGTTCAGTTTTTTTTTTTTTTTAACGTTAGAGAGGGATTCTAAGTAGTATTTAGCGAAAGTAAAAAAATCGTTTCATGACCCCTTTATTCGCCTTGGGCTCGGTGTTGCGTTTACTGCGAGATATGCAACACCATAGGAACCATCAATCATGTCCTTCTCGACTGTTCCTCATTCGAGTCTGAAAGGTGCTTTCTGAAAGACAAAGACAGTAGCTTCGTTCGATTTACCTGCACTTCCTGCACCGGCACAAAAAAGTGCAGGGCGGTGTACTTCCGGTATGTGTATTGACATACGACCGGAAGAACGCCGCCCTTCACTTTTTTTTTTTTTCACTGATGCAGGAAGTGCAGGTAAATCGAACGAAGCTACTGTCGACATTTGATGACCGACCATTTAGCTTGGAAAAAATCCTTGGCTCATGGTCATCACGAACCAATGCGGTAAAAGCTTCAGGGGCTCTCTTATAGTTCGTCTCAGAAGTACTGGACTGACTTCACGGCTTTGAAGACCCTCCCGAGTGACCAAAAGTGAAATCCGTACTCCTGCACCATGATACTGCACCCATCGACAGCGACATCTTTCGCTTTTAATTTTTGTTAGCTCCATCTTCCACTCCTTTAAATACCTGTTTCCCTACTCCCGTACGGAATAGCACGCTAGGACAACTGGTCCAGGCGAGCCTATACGCCCTTTCCATATCTCATTCACTCACCCACTCAGCATTAAGGTTTCCGTAAAAATATACAAGTGTCCCCCCCCCCCCCCCCTCCCCCTCTCCCAATTTTTTTTTTTAATCGCCAATGTAGCGTCACGCCGCGGTGGTGGCGCGCCGGACGCACTTCCGCTCTGGGGCGGTGGGCAGAAGTCGCCGTGCCAGACATGCATTCCTGCGTTCCTTTGGAAGAAACGACACAAAACACCTCCCTTCTCGTCAAAATGCTGCGACGGGGGAGTCTGGAAAGGTTTGAAGATCAGTTTTCATGTGTTTCTGCCCCCTCCGTTCGTTCGAGAACGTGGATAGTAGCCGTGAAAAGGGCAAACCAGACGCTGTCGAGCTACGATTGCTTGTGTGGGCAACACTTTGTGGTCGCCAGATGTATTTGCTTTGTTCCAACAAAAACGAGAGAAAACCGCCAAGTTGTCCGATGTCCAATTTGAAGACGCACTGAACCCACGGGTTCAGTGCGTCTTCAAATTCACACGGCCGCCTGATCGTTCGAACTTTCGTCTGCTCTTTGTCGTCTGCTCGTTCAAACAAAAGCGGCCCGTAGACCAAACTTTGACCCGGTGATTGCAATAAGAAGTAATTGCAGGCCTCAAAAGACTTAAGTAGGCTCGGTGTAAACAGTAGATACAAGATGTTGATCATTGGTATCAGTGGCCATCACCGACTTGTTACGCTTGGTTTGTTCCCGCTTCCGATTCTCAGTATCGACGTCGATCATCGCCGCCACCTTCTACACTTTTGCAACACGAGCGACGTCGCTACCGAAAATAGCTGGAAAAATCTCATCATGGTTTTGGCGTCCATTCTGCGGCGTTCATGCGAATGAATCGCCGCACGTCAAATTGTTTACGGAAAGTTTAGCGGCGTAACGAGCCTTAATAATTTCGCTTAGGCGATTAAAGTGGTAAGACATTGCGATGAGGACGTAGAATCGACAATTCCAACGCGAAAAAGAGTATGCAGACTCACACAGACGCCGATAACTCGACATTCGAGTGGTTTGTTGACGCGGGACGCGGTGCTTCTTGCCCGCACCCCATTACGCATCCGTTCGAACTGTCGTCTGCTCTTTCAAACTTGGCTGCTTTTTGTCGTCAGCTCGTTCAAACGACAGCGGCCCGTAAACCAAACGTTGACCCGGTAATTGCGATAAGAACTAAGTGCAGGCCTCAAAACAATTTTGAAGGTTGGTTGGGGTAAGTAGGCTAAGTGTAAACAGATACAAGAATATGTTTATCAGTATTGTTACCGGTGGCCATCACACACTTGTAATGCCCGATTCTACTTGCGGTTTTCAGTATCGACGTCCACCATCTCCTCTACGGTTCACGCTTTTGCAGTCCGAGCAACGTCGCGTCTGAAAACAGCGAGCAGAATCTCATCGTGGGAGTCAGGCTTTAGCGCCCGTTCTGCGGCGTCGACGTGAAATGAATCGCCGCACGTCACATTATTCACGCAAAGTTTTGCCTCGTTAGTTTTGCTGAAGCCGCTAAGTAGTCAGACATTGTTAGGAGGACGTAGCATCAACAATTCCAACGCGAAAAAGAGCACGGGGACTCCCACCGACGCCGACAACAACGCATTTCAATGGTTTGTTTATGGGCGACGGTGGGCTTCTTGCCCACCATCCACCGCGCATGCGCGGCGCCGGTGGCGTCCGCTAGGGGCGCTCCGGTTTGTTTGGAAACATGAGTTGGTGTATAGGTTCGAACCCGATGACAAAGTTTCAGCACGAACCAAGATTTTAATAAAAAGTTAGAAGTGATTTTCTGAAAATGTCAAGAGAGAATTGTGACCGACGGTGCTCTGGAATACAAGGAGCTCTATATGGCACCAGAAACTGAAAACGGGCTAAAATGGGACTTATTTTCCCATTGAGATTTTCAGAAAATCTCATAACTTTTGAAAAAAATATCGGTTAGTGCTGAAACTTTGGCACCTGGTTCGGACCTTTAGGGGAACCTTTTGGCGGAGAATGAGCGTTCGGCGATGAGTAGTTTAGTTTTGCGGTGAAAAAACAAAACAAAAAAACCTGTAAATGTTTTTTAAACATCCTTTATAAAAAAAAAAAAGAAAAAAAGAAACCTGATAACGGCACCTGATAACACATGACTAGGGTTTCCCTTCTCTCCTGCCTGTAATCACGTTATTGATTTTTGTGCTTCATTCTAGCATTTTGTTACTGGAAAGCGCGCACATTGCAAGAGGGGAAGCATATAATTTTCCACTCTCGGAGCTACAGATTGCCTGGTCAGTGCGAGTTGTAAGAACACCCAAAGTCATGATTGTCTGTCATTCAGTACTCGTTTTTAATATTAATCAGGAGGTGGTCGCAGTACGTGTGGATTGAAATACCCCGGGGAAAATTGTCTTTGTCTCTACCAGCTACACCCCGACACGGGGCGACAACACAGAGTCATCTTCGCGTCGATGTCTCGTTTATGCTCACTGTTTCCCATGGAAAGAATACTGATCGCCGGAGATTTCCGCGGCTCTCCTGAGATAAAATAAATATATTATATCATGTCATATCATATCATATCATATCATATCATATAATTTCAATGCAGCTAATACGACCTGGTGATACGGACGCAACACCCATTTACTAAACTTGAACAACAGGCCAAATAGGGAATTCGACTCTTCTCAATGATTTGGGCATTCCCACCCGGGTGGGCCTACACTCTGGAGAGCAATGCACCAGACTAGACATCACATGTAGTTCACAAGGAGCTCACATGCAGCTCACATGGGTTTGCTACGGCATGGGCCTGTGAGAGAGACCCATGGCCGCGCAGTGATCACTATCCCATTTGGATCACACTCCTTGCGCGTCAGAAAAAACGAAAAAGAAGGATCGCTGCACGAATTGGAACTGTTTCCATCAAGAAATGTCACTTCGAGTACAAGAAGGGGTCTGCTTAGCACTCATTGACAGCAACACGAGTGCACTTACCGAATCAACAAGAGGATTGGAATTGCCCGAAGAGATCCCACCACCGGACAAACATCTTCTTAATATTTGGT